GTTTGTAATACCAAAACATTGTGCCTTATTATTTGTTAAACATTGTCAACTGACGATTTTTTACCATTTTTGCACACACCGATCACTATAAGAATTCTCTGCTTCATTCACGGATCGTCAATTAAGTTAATTTTATAATATTTACCATAATAGAATTTAGCTGAACATTATTATAAAGAAAAATGCTAAGATGCAAAGTTCTACTATTATATTTTTAAAAAAGTTATAAGAAAAAATACCTCCATTCATTTTTATTATATATAAGCAAAACAAGATTTTAGTAGAGGGATGTGCAGCATGGTGGACATTCAAATGTTGCATGCTGTGTAATGTAATTTTTAAAGTAAAAAAACTGTGCGCTCAATTAAAATGGGTATACGTTGATATGTAACACATACTGTAACTTTACAGAGATATTCTTTAACGTTTTTTTAACTTAATTTCAGCTGCATCTGTCAGTATCCACAATTTTGACATACTTTACTTAGTACTAACATTTCCAAGATGGTATTATGCAGTAGATGTGTAGTTTGCAACAAAATTAGAGTAAACTCAAAGTATAGAAAAATTACAGAATCAAGTAAAAATAAAGCAGAAGTTGGGGATATAATAATTTAAGTGTTAATAATTTAATTTGTAATATATGTTATAATAAATGTATCAATGATGATAATTTGTTTAAAACAAATGTACAAAGTTCTTCATCTTCAAAATTAGTAGAATTAGAAGCACAAGTTAAAGAACTCCAACAACACATAACAATATTATCAACTGAATTGGGAATATAACAAGGCCTGTTGGTACAAACAATTTAATTGGTAATTTTTTTTTTTATAATTCTTTTGGATTTATAAAATAAGTTAATTCATATCATATCATTAATGATTGGGTTGTACAATGGATTATGTAGATCAAAACTAATTAACATCATACAGTCTACTCTCTCTATAACGACCCTCTCTATAATGACCACTAAGTAAAATTCTCTATAATGAACTTCCCTTTTGTCCTTGTTTCAATTTTTTATAATTGATTTCTCTCTCTATAATGACCATCTTAATAAACTCTCTATATAATGACCAAAAGCAGAGAAATTACATATAGGGACAGAGGGTTCATTATAGAGAGAGTAGACTGTATATAAAATTTACTAATAAACTTTTTTTCAACAATTATAAAAATAAAAATTGCATCTTCTCATTCAAAAAAAAAGATACAACTATAAAATTAAGTGATATTATAACAAATGTAATGGTCCACTTAGTGACAGAGAGTTTTTTTAATTTTATTAGTAAAATCATCCAAAATGTTAAAAAATATTGTTAAACTTTGAAATGTATAGGCTCAATAACCAAACAAGTTAGAGTAAAAAAATTTCCATGATTTTTTTCTCTGTGATTCAAAGAATAGCCTGACAGAAAGTTTTTTTAAAAATTATTAGTAAAAAAAGTTTATTAAAAGATTAAAGATAGAGATGTTCCAATGTGCACTGCATTGTGCGCATTGTGCGCACGTAATTTTTGAAATCATGCGCATGTAATTTTTTTTGTACATAGTAATAAATGTAACACAAAAAAAATTAAATTTTTTTTTAGAAAATTTTGGTCACA